TTTTTTTTTTTTTTTTTTTTTGTAGTGCCCCTCCCAGGTATGGTGTAGGTGTTTTACTATCTTGAGAAAGAGGTGTAACCAACTTGGTTACCTAGGTGGAATACTGGTAGATGGTAAAGTACTTAAGAGTGCAATCTTATTCCTTCTGTACAAACCTTACACTTGGTAGCTGTGGTTGGTTGCTTGTCAAGGAGCGCTGGTGGCGTAGTGCCTAAGGCACTTGACTGCTAACCAGAAGGCTGGAGGTTCAAACCCTACCAGCCACTCCTTGGAAGGAAGGTTGGGCAATCTACTTCCATAGTGATACTGCCTCGGAAACCCAAGGAAGGGTCACTATGAGTCGGAACCGACGGCAGGGAGTTTTGGTTTTGTGTTTTTTTGTTTTGTTTTGTTTTTTCGGTCAAGGAAAATAGAACCTGTTCTTCTGAGTAATTAGAATGAAAAGCTTGTGAAAAATCCCTGACTATACTTCTACCAGAGTCCCTCTACAGATTTTCAGCACTGGACTGTTTCCTCCCAAAATCCTTTATATCTAACAATTTTAAGTATGCTTTTGACATACCAGTGTTAGAAGTCATTGATGATAGTTAAGATGTACAGAATAAACAATTCAAGTGCTAGTAGTAATCAAAGTAGGTCCTTGGCACAAACTGCCCTGCACTGAACTTCACTGAACTGAACTTGCACTGAACCTGAAGGCTGGCTGCTGGAACCCACCTGGCAGCCATGCAGAAGAAAGACCTGGTGACCTGCTTCTGTAAAGATCCCAGCCAAGAAGTTCCAGTGGAGCAGTTTCAGTGTTACGCAGGCAGGTAGCCGCCAGGAGTCGTAACCGACTGGATGGCACCAGGTTAATTAGGATGTAGATTTAATTCTCTTGTAAACATTTGCAGTTACAGTCTGAATATACTAAGTAACGTCTCCTCTAAGAAGGGAATAGGTTTTTTAGAATTTTTGTACTGAGAAAAATCTCCTTCCTCCTGCCTTCACACTAACAAATGCACATTTAGCATTGTTAATTTGTTCCTTATGGTGTTTAACGTTTGGAAGCTGCTTTTTACATGAGATTGTTTCTCTCCAACTCACCAGACTATTAATTAAAGCATCATTTTTTGACAGTGGACTAACTACTCGGGGAAGATTTGCTAAGTTGGGCCTAAGACTGTGACACTCCCTCCTGAGTACAATGGCACTGTGCTTTGTAGCTGGGAACAGAGCTGTTTGGTATTAAGAGGAGTAGGTGTTTTTCTCTGAGAGCTTGTTGTAGGATTCTAACATGTTGGCGGTCTTTTGTATTTTTAGTGCAGCACAAAATAATATGGAACTTCACATCTGACATTTACTTTTGATAGTCATGGCTTTGTTTTTGGTAGTTGTATTTTTTTCTTTTTCCTCTCCTTCAGTTACACACCAAACCAAAACTAAACTCACTGCCACCTAGTTGAACTCAATTCATAGCAACCCCTCCTTGGGTTTCTGAGGCGGTGTCACTATGGAAGTAAATTGCCCAACCTATGCTACCAGAGCTCCTTCAGTTACACAATAGAATGTTAATTAATAGGGTGTGATTTACTAGTCCTAGCCATTTAGCAGGATCAGAAAGCTTACATCAATTCTGATTCTTGTTTAGAATTCTTTTAACACTGTATTAATGTGTGCATTTTACAGTGTAAAATTGATGAGCCTGATCAAGATCTAGAGTGCCTTCTAAATGATCAAAACATGACTCACTGGAACACATTTAAACACATATTAGGTACAGTTTAGATTCAGTAAAGAATATTTTACTTTTTGCAATGTTTTCGTTAACTTGGGATTTTTATATGGCTTATATGTTGTAACTTTACAAACCAGAAATGATTGATGAGCCAGCAGTCCCGTTCATCAGCCATCCTCATGGTGGCAAATCAGAGTAGAGATTTGTTTGTTTCCATTGCATTTGATTATCATCAGTTTAAGATTTTGTTTACCAACAATTATGAAGATGGCACGGGACTGGGCAACATTTTGTTCTATTCCATATAAAGTTGCTGTGAGTTACAGCCGACTCAGCAACTAATGGTAACAACAAAGAGTTTTATTACCTGAAATTGAAAAATCTTTCTTCATTACATTTATTCCTAAGTTTTCCAGCTGTAAACGTAAAGACCATATAATTCCATAAAGAAAATTTTGTAGTCCTTCAGTATAACATGAAATTCAGAACTTTTTCCATTTAAGTGAAAAGGAGGCATTGGAATAGTAGAATAATAGCTATTGTAGCTCCCTGGAGTACAAGGAGCCATTGTGGTACAGTGGTTAAAGCATTCGGCTGCTTACCAGAAGGTCAGCAGTTTGAAGCCACCAGCTGCTCTGTGGGAGAAAGAGACTGTCTGCTTCCATAAAGATTTACAGCCTTAGAAGCACTGTGGAGCAGTTCTACTCTGTTCTGTAGGGTCACTGTGATTTGGAACTGACTTGATGGCAGTAGGTTTGGGTTTTTGGTTTGGAGTATGAAAACAAGAAAAAAAAATTAGAGATAGTCATTAACATTGTTCTGAGAGGACTCTAAGACATGAAATTTCATAATTCAGAAACATATTTGAATATTCTCATACTTCCCATTGAAAATTGCCTAACATGCTTAAAATTTTAAAAAAATATAAATTCTAATTATTAACTCCTTGATATTTCTTATGATTAATTGATCCCAATATAACATTTATGCTTATGGTATACCAAGATCTGTTCTATATATTGTTTGATTCAATTGTCAAGTAACATGAGGAAGATACCATTATCACCATGTTACAGTGGAAGCAACTGAAACATAAAAAACCCACTGCCATTGAATCAATTCCAACTCATGGTGACCCCATAGGAAGAGGTGATCTGCCGCTATACGTTTTCCAAGGCTGTAAATTTTTATGGAAGCAGATTGCCTCATCTTTCTCCTGTAGAGACACTGGTAGGTTCAAACCATCAACCTTTTGGTTAGCATCTGAGTGCTTTAGCTACTGTGTCACCATAGTTCAACTGAGTCTTAGGAAGCTTAAATAACTTGCCAAAGACCACACATGTATTTGAGCTTGTCTCAATTAAAACAGTGTGTTAATGACTTAAGTTGAAAACTGACCAGTTAATTTTATTCATTTGTACTATTGTTTCAACTGTGCCTCTGCCACTAACAGTTTATATCTGTATATGTATCGTTTTTCCCTTTGGGAAAAGAACAGTGATTTCACTGCACATAGTGTTTTGTACTGTTTAGTATTTAGGTTACTAATAGTGATTAGGGAGCTTTGGTAGCGTAGTGCCTAAGGCACTTGATTGCTAACCAGAAGGCTGGTGATTCAAACCCACCAGCCACTCCATGGAAGGAAGGTGAGGCAATCTACTTCATGGTGATACTGCTTCAAAAACCCAAGGAGGGGTCACTGTGAGTCGGGTCGGCCTCAACGGCACATAACAACAACAATAGTGATTAATTAGGTAAATTTTTATTGACTACATCATTCCTGATAATGCTTTAAGTTTTTCTGAAGCAGCACATTACTCTTGTGTTGTATTTTATTTTCAATGTCTCTCATAGATGTTATTTTCCAAATTTCATACTTCATAACATCAGTATTTCTTTGTAATCCATTGTAAAACTGAGCATTCTTCTGTTTTTCTATTCCTGCTCTCCACGTACACACACACAACCTCCTTCCCACATACACATGCACATATACCCACACTTACACACTTGTCCATCTTCTACATATTTCTTCTTACTCCTTGAGGAGTGAATCCTAACCACTACACTGTTACTTAGGCATTTAGAGATTGTGCAGGGAAAATATATCGATGTGTGTTTGTTTAACTCTAGATATTTGCAGAGCAATTGAATTGTTGGAAAAACTACAGAGGAGTGGAGAGGTACCACCACAGAAACTTCAGGCTTTGCAAAGAGTTCTTCAAAGTGAGTTCTGCAATGCTGTAAGAGAGGTCAGTAAACTAGGTAAACACTTGTTAAAAACTTGAGTGAATTCAGTAGTTAATATTCTGAAATTTGGTTTCAGAATTTTTTAAGGAAATAAAATAATCTTCAGAAAAACATTAGAAATTGCCCCTCTCACTTTTGGAACCTATAATTAAAAAAAAAAAAAAAAATTTACAAAGATGAGTGACTTTGCTAAAATTTTAATATTCATTAACTTCAAAAAAAAAAAAAATGCAAGCGTATTTTCTGAAATTTAAAATCCCAGTGATAACTTTGGCTTTTACAGGTATATGAACATGTCTATGAGACGGTGGACATCAGTAGCAGTCCTGAAGTGAGAGCTAATGCAACTGCAAAGGTAAAAATTTTTTCATTTTCTAAAAGTGAGAAAATTCTTCATAAATTACAGATATAAAATTTATAAATGCAATTATTAGATCATAACAGGCTTATTTTGAATACTAACACAGTTTTTTTCAAGCTACCCTGAACTTTTCAAGTATAAAGATAAATATGACATTTTAAAAATTGATTTTTTATATGGAAAGTTTAGATAATACATTGAAAATGCACTTGTACCCAAATGCAAGTACGTATTCAGTACATAATTGTGTTTTATATATATTATACATCTGAATTGTATTATGTAAATTTTAATCAAAATTCTGAGGTATAAATTATTACTCTTACTTTGTTGATGAGGACAACTGTGACAAGCAAGATTGAGTTACTTGCCTCAAACCACAAAATTTGTAAAAATAGGGCTGGGATACTCCTTATGTATCTCTTTCTCCAAAGCCTTTCTTCTTTTCTTTACTTTAATTCTGCAAATACGGTATAATGCCTGTAGTAGGTTACCTCTTCAGACCTGCAGATAGCAGGTTTTATGTGCTTTTCTGAATAAATGTTTTCCTCAGAAGAATTCTGGTGGCACAGTGGTTAAGGTGCTTGGCCGCTAACCAAAAGGTCAGCATTTCAAACCCACCAGGTGCTCCACAGGAGAAAGGTGAGGCAGTTTGCTTCCATAGAGATTTACAGTCTTGTAACTATGGGGCAGTTCTCCTCTGTCCTGTAGGATCACTATGAATCAGCATTGATGGCCCTGGGTATTTTTAGGGGGTTGACCTCAGTGTTAATGATATGCAATTAGAGAAAATATCAGTGTGAGGTGACTTATACTAGAACTAATCATTAGCAAATAATTTTTCATTGGTAGTAAAGGAGCTCTGTTGGTATAATGCTTAAGACATTTGGCTGCTAAACAGAAGGTCAGTGGTTTGAACCCACCAGCTGCTGTGAAAGAAAATGAGGCAGTCTGCTTCCATGAAAATTTGCAGCCTTGGAAACCCAGTGGGGTTCACTATGAGTTGGAATCAACTTCATGACAGTGAGTTTGGTTTTTGGTTTAGTGTCTTAGTTAAGGAGCCCTGGTGGCTCAGTGTTTAAAGAGCTCAACTGCTAACCAAAAGGTAGATGGTTCGAACCCACCATCTGCTCCATGGGAGAAAGATGTGGAAGACTATTTCTGTAAGGAAACTTGGTAGTGCAGTTCTACTCTCTCCTTACAAGATCATTATGAGTCAGAATCAACTTGATGACAGTGGGTTAGTGTCTTAGTTATAGTGCTGCTGCTAACACAGTTGGGTGGCTTTAAAGAACAGAAATTTATTTTCTCATAGTTTTGGAGGCTAAAAGTCGAAATCAGTAGCCTTGGCAGTCCTCACTGTCTCCTCCAGTATGTGCACTTGCTCTGTTTAGTCTGCTTTTTTATAAGTCAGACGTGATTAAATTTACAACACACCCTGTGGTAGTGTGAGCTTATTAACATAACAATAAACCCTATTTCCAATATGATTACATCTACAGATATGAAGGTTAGGATGCCAATACATGCTGTGGGGGACACAATTCAATTCATAATACTTTATCACTCACCAAAGGAAATAGTGGATTCTCTGTTGACTATAAGTACAATACATGGATGTGGTTTAGCAGAATAAAGAAGACTATAGAAATTTGGGCTTAATTCCTGAGTTCAACTTATAGCTTACTGGATTTCTGCGTATTAGTTCCATTATTGAAAAATGAGCTCTCTCTCAGAGTTTGAAACATGGTAGATATTCAACAAATCTTGGTTTCCTTCCTTTCCTTTCCATTTTTGCACATATACTGTGATCCATCACCAAAATGGTACCAGTCAATTACTTAATTACCTTTTTTAAAAGTAAAATAAAACAAGTTTGTGCTATAATTAGTCTAATTAAAACCAAAACAAACCCACTTCCATCGAGTTGATTCTGACTGATAGCAACCCTGTGTGACAGAACAGAACTGATCCTTAGGGTTTCCAAGGCTGTTAATCTTTATTGAAGTAGACTCTCATCTTTCTCCCATGGAGCTGCTGGTGGATTCAAACCACCAACCTTGTGGTTAGCCCCCAAATGCCTTAACCATTGTGCCACTATAATTAGGTTAGTCGAAAGTTTTTTAAAAAAGATATGGCTGTTTCATTCTCTGTGGGATTTTAATTGTAACTAGGTAGTTAGCTACAGCAAAACAACAGCATTCACTTTGGCCTTTTTTTCCAAATGCTGAGTAATGTCTTAACCTATTAGTTATTCATAGTACACATTATCCATTGATATACAGTGTAAATAGTGTAGCATCCAGAAAAGGATACCTCCACATAGGTTATAGATGTAGGTTGTATCCTACAGAAAGGCCTGTGAGGGAGTGGGGCTATCCCACCGAGCACTCAAGGCTGCTGGCATGCTGGTAGAGGGGTGTTCTTTTCTAATGTGCACAGTGTTCATCTACCCCCCAAGCTTGCTTGCTAGGGCTGTGCACACAGTTCTGGGCACTGGATGGGCTAGGAGTGACCTGAAAAATGTTAATACTTCCTATGTTGGCCCAGAGTCTTCCTTTCCAGTCATCTCTCAAAAAACCATTTGTGGACATTCAGACATCAAGAATATGTACCTCAAAAGTAGTATTTAAAAGACACAAGAACTGAAGTGAACAAATATCACATGTTTAAATAGATAAGATTTTCTTTCAGGCTACAGTCGCTGCATTTGCTGCCAGCGAAGGACATTCTCATCCTCGAGTTGTTGAGCTACCGAAAACAGAAGAGGGCCTTGGATTCAATATTATGGGAGGCAAAGAGCAAAACTCTCCAATCTATATATCTCGAATAATTCCAGGTGGAATTGCTGATAGACATGGGGGTCTCAAACGAGGAGATCAGCTCCTTTCTGTTAATGGAGTGGTAAGGATGCATTTTATTTCTACTTGTAGTAATGTGTTGTAACCACTTGGAGGTGTATTTGAGCCATAGAAACAGAAGATGTTGATTTGGGGGAAAAAACTAAAGAAAGTTTGTAGTTTAAAAACCTCCTGGGTGAATCCTAAGCAGTATTATCTTTTTTTTTTTTTTTTAAGAGAAAGTGTTTTTTGTTTCTTTCCACTGTAAATTATCAATGTTTAGTTTGATTTTTTTTTATGCAGTAATTAAGCTCTTTAATATTAAGACAGTACATTAAGGTAGAAGTCTACCCTCGTTTTAGTCTCATACAATGGCAGTTGCTTGATTTACTTCTGACTTACTGAAATAATAGGGCGTGTAAATTGAGGTGCTAATTATTTGGAATTTAAAAATCAGACTATAAGAAGAATATGACTTAGCAGAAGATTTCACACTGATGACGACAATAAGGCTGGATTTTCTCTATTTTTTTCTAGTACTGATATTTGTGTGCATTTTAAGCATTTTGAGTTCCTTAAAAACCTAGATACTAATTGTGTGTGTATTTTTTCCTAGAGCGTTGAAGGAGAACACCATGAAAAAGCTGTAGAGCTGCTGAAAGCCGCTCAAGGGAAGGTGAAGTTAGTGGTGCGATATACACCCAAAGTCTTAGAAGAAATGGAGTCACGCTTTGAAAAAATGAGATCAGCAAAACGCAGGCAACAGACCTAATGCACTTCAAAACTTTATATTCTACTTTGCTTTTAGCTAGACAAGTTTTGCTTGTGACCTACTGTTGGCTGCAATGCCAGTGATTATAAAAAACAAATGAAAACTTCCCATGAATCCTCCCTGCCATTTTATAAATGCCTATTTTAACATCATGTATGGTTCCACAGATACATATACTTTTTTCTGATAAGAAAAAGTAAAAGGTGATGAGGGCAGTTCTGTCCTGCTGTTTTTACAGGCCTTTTTCAAATCCAGATTTTGTCATAAAGTTGTTATAGATTTTTAAAAATGCTTTTTTAATATTAAAATGTACTTTTACATTCTTAATCTTTTTTTAAAAAAAGCTTTCTTCATTTGGCTGCTTATTTAAAAATAACAGTTCTTCAATTTTTTCTTTGCTTACTCTCTATTTTTTACCTGTGCAATTTCTTTATGGTTTTCCAGGAAATTAGACATAAAGTCTTAGCTACAGCAGATCATTACACTGTCAATGTTAACATCACGGCTGCATTTTGTATTTTTGAACACACACATAGTATATGTAATCAATGGTAAATCATAGCACAGTGGAAGTTTTTTACTTTTATTTAAACATTATAATGAAGATTCATTTATACTGATTTATAAAAGTAAGTTTTTAAACACTGAAACAATCATTGCTAAAATATGTATTCTTTCATAATAATAGAGCAGTGAAGTAAGAGGATGTAATTTGATTGTTAGCATTCCTAATTACATCCCTTTCTATCTATTTATAGTCAGTAATAACATTGTAAATTGCAAATGCATAAACAAGTTCAGATTTCACCTTTTTCAATTTTTTTTTAATGCTATTCACTCCTCAGAAGGAAGGTTGGGCAATCTACTTCCGTAGTGAAACCACCTCAGAAACCCAAGGAGGGGTCGCTGTGAGTCAGATCTGACTCGATGGCAGTGAGTTATTCATGTTTAGTTACATAGATTTCTTCTGTTTTGATCCTGTCATTCCTAGAGATGAACCAGTTAGTTTTGGTGAGGAATAGTGGAAGCGAAGAAAAAGTAATTCTTTTAACATCAACTAGTCTCGAGTTATATACTTTTACTAGCTCAATTTAATTGATTTTAAGTAGGAAGAAGAAAGGATATATTTAAGATAGAAGTTATAAGATGATATATTCATAAAAATCTGTAGACTTCTTGTCAATATGAGTAGGGACTCATTCACAGTCAAATGGTTGGATTTAGAAATGCAGTCATTTACTACTCAAATATAATGATGGGAATTTTGACAGGTTCCTTTATTTCATTTGTCCACTGGATGTCACTGTTTTACTGAAAGGCAGCTATTAGTGTATGACTGTGACTGAGCTCCTTAAAGGCCGAAATTAAATGAGATTAGGTTCATTTTTAGTCACAACTTACAGGAAGATTTTTACAGTTTGTAAAAATTTTAGGTGGTACTAAAAAGAAGATAATGGATTGAAATAGATAAGAAATTGGGGGCATAATTCTCTACCTTGTATAACAGGTGGGCATTTTGTAACATTCCTTCAGGAAGGATAGAAATGTAAACCTTTTCCTGCATGTTTGTGAGCACTGTAGTCTAAGAGATTATTCCAGTTTTCGATGATTTTTAGCATAAAAAGTCAATCATTGTTATTTATCATTTAGGTATTTGAACACTGGATTGCATGGTTGAATGTGTCTTTAGTCCACCACAAAATGTGCTTGTTATTGATAGGATTGTGTTGTTAAATTGTATATTTTCAAAATTAATTGATGTTTTTAAAATGTTGAGACCAAAGTAGTGTAGAAGAATTATGGGCTTAATTTAATTTAATTGTAAAATTATTAGAGGTATTTGCTGTAGAAGTTTATATATTAAAGAGAGGTGTCAGTGAATATTAAGAAAAAAGAAAGTAATATTATTGTTATGCTTGTATTCCTGCATTACAGGGTAAGTAAACCCTGGAGAAACCTTATTTTAGTATAACTACAGCTGCAGTAGTTTTTAAGGGTATGTCAACATTTCATTATAAATTATAGCTTCCTGGTTCAATATCAGCTGTTTTAGAACTTTCAGCCAAATTAAATCTTTTTTAGTGTTTGAACTTAGTTGAGTAAGGCCCCCCCTTCCCCACCGCCACACACAGTAATCCACAATCTGTTCTTTGTGTGGGTTGGCACCTATTTATAATTCTTAAAATGAGGATTGTTTAAAGGAGCCAAATACAGTAGTTTTACTTCCTACTGTTAAGCATGGGTAGCAGTAGTTTTTCATTAATACTGATAACAGCATATCCCAGAATTTTAAATCTTGACCACAGAAAAATTCATTCAGTGGCAAAGATGTACAGTGGTGATTTAGTATAGGGAGGAAATGAAGGAATTTTTATCTTATAAATGTATGATTTGTGAACATAACTTGGCTATGCATATAATACATAGCTAAGTGTATAATGGATGTTTGATTTGTAAATTATAAATATGTATAAATTATCTTCCTTCCCCCAGTTTTCATTTATTTTCTTGGCATTTCACAATGGATTGACTCCATGGTTCTCAACCTTAGCTGCATATTAGAACACCCTGCTGAGCTTTAAAACAATATTGGTACCTAGGTCCTATCCCACACCAAGTAAATCATAGTCTCTAGGGCCAGACACTTACTTGTAAGAAATTTTTCCAAGTGGTTCTTCTAATGGACACCCAGAGTGGAAAAATCATTTAATAGTTGGTTATTCCCTTCAAAAAAATGCTCTAATCACACTGGATTCTGTTTGGAAGTATCTAAATAATTCAGTTTGCACCTTCTTAATGATTGCTTACATTTCTTAGTAATTTCTTTAGGAATAAAAGGTACTTGGCATTCCTTATCTGGGAAGAAATTCCAGTCTACCTTTATTTTTTTTTTTTACATACAATCTACCAGTGGTTTAAATTAAAATTTTAATGTCATCTTTCTGCTCTCTTCACCTTTAAAACTTGCAAAAGTGAATGTTTATTATTTGAGAAAGCACGTTTCAAAGTACAGGTGAGGAATATTGTCATTGATAGTTATGTGCTGTCTTAAATGCCCGCTTTATTCATTACTGTGATGCTAGACTGTAGTGGCTCAGTTCTTTGGGGTTTGATAATTCAAAGATGTGGGTTTTTTTGTTTTTAAATCATTGTCCTCTTCTAAATTTTTACAAGTCATTTTGCGCAAGTCCTTTGTTTACAATTAAAGTGGATATTATAGCATTTAATAGAAGAAATGGTTATGAGTTACCTGAAAAGAATGTCAGCATGACTTGGTGTAGATTTAAGAGAATACATGTTGTGAATATTTTATAATGTGGAAAGATCATTGAGATATCAAGGATACTAGTAATTGTATTTCCTGAATAAATGTTATGTTTATGAATTTTCTAACTGCCAACAGTCTGGTTTTTATACTTTTTATTGCCCCAAATTTCATTAACTTCAAAATTGTGACATTCCCTAATGGGTAAATTGAAAGACAGGAAAAAAAAGACAAGTCACTTGCTTATTGACAAGAACTTCCAAACTGATTTGTATCTGGACAAATGGGTTTTTTTTTTCAGTAATAGCAAACAGTATGCTGCTTCTTTAATTTTTAACTTTAGTTTGAAGTAAAGAAATATAACACCTATAATGGGTTTAAAATAACACTTTTTTAATAGATGATCTCATTTATTAATTCTGATTCTAAGGTTTATTTAATAGAAATGTCTATTAATTTCTTGTCCTTTAGATTTGAAAAAAAGCATCTATACACAATAGATGTGTTTCTCAAGGCTGTGTGTAAAATAGTTTCAAATGGAATAAAAGCATTATCTTGAAGCACTTACTGATGATAATCAGACTACAGCTTTCAGTATGGGTTACACCTCAACATAAAGAAAATGAAAACTCTTAAAACTGGACCAATAACATCACGAAAATAGAGAACAGATTGAAGTTGTCAGGGATTTTATCTTACTCGGATCCACAATCTACACCCATGGAAGCAGCAGTCAGGAAATCACACGTCGTATTGCACTGGGCAAAACTGCTGCGAAAGACCTCCTTAATAGTGTTAAAAAGCAGAGATGTCACTTTGAAGACTAAGGTGCACCTGACCCAAGCAAGCCATGGTATTTTCAGTTGCCTCATATGCATGTGAAAGCTGGACAGTGAATAAGGAAGACCAAAGAAGAGTTGATGCCTTTGAATTGTGTTGGTGAGGAATACTGAGAATACCATGGACTGCCAGAAGAAGGAACAAATAAACCTGTCCTGGAAGAAATACAGCTGGAATGCTCCTTAGAAGCGAGAAGGCCAGATTTAATTTCACGGTGTTTTCAGAAGGATGTGTTTGGTAAAGTAGAAGGTCAGTGCAGAAGGGGAAGGGCCTCAAGTAGATGGATTGACACAGTGACAGATGGGCTCGTGCATGACAGACTGTGAGGATGGTGCAGGATAATAAATAGGATCGCTACAAGTCGGAGCCAACTTGATGGCACCTAACAACAACATACGTGGTGGTAGTAGAGCTCTGATGGTGTAGTGGTTAAAGTATTTGGCTGCTAACCAAAAGGTCAGCAGTTTGAACCTACCAGCTACTCCATGGAAGAAAGATGAGGCAGTAAAGATTACAGCCTTGGAAACACTATGGTAGTTCTACTCTTATCTTGCAGGGTGGCTGTGAATAGGAATCAACTCAGTGGCAGTGGGTTTGGTTCTTTATGGTGGTTGTGGAAATGAAATTGAATTCCTGTAATTTGCTTTGGCTTTCATAAAACTGCAGGAAAACATCCTTTTGTATTATTTCAACAGAGGTAGTATGGTGTGGAGCCCAACTACCCAACCTTGACTTTCATGTCACCACTTGATCATGTAACCTGAAACTAGTGAACCTAATTGCTCTCTGTCTTAGTTCCCTCATCTCTCCTCTGTAATAAAGAATGCCTGTGAATGTTTGGAAGGAGCTCTGGTGGTGTAATGCCCAAGGCATTTGACTGCTAACCAGAAGGTTGGTGGTTCAAACCCAACAGCCACTCCGTGAAAGGAAGACTGGGCAATCTCCTTCTGTAAAGTTTTACTGCCTCAGAAACCCAAAGGGGGTCGCTATGAGTCAGAATCAACCCAATGGCAGTGAGTTTGGTTTTTTGATGATTTTATTAGTGGTGGTGGTTGCCGTGGAGTCTGGCCTGACTAATAGTGACCCCTCCTTGGGTTTCTGAGGTGATATCACTACGGAGGTAAGTTGCCCAACCTTCCTTCCGAGGAGTGGCTGGTTGGTTTGAACCGCCTGCCTTCTGGTTAACAGCCAAGTGCCTTAGGCACTGTGCTACCAGAGCTCCTTTTAGGAGTATGTTAATTTGTTGCCTGGCATAGTAAGCACTATTTGTTTTTGCTATTCATGTAAAATTTCAGGACCTTGCTAGCTAAAGAAAAACACTGTAGGCAAATAATTAAAATTAGCAAGTCCTTATTTTTGATACTTCGACAACAGATAAGCCATAAATTATGCTTTATATCTTTATAAAGAATAAGATTCACAAGGGATTTTTCAGGTTTCTGTCCAGTCTGATCAAAGAAACTCAGAATTTTTAAATTAAAAGAGTTTTCCAGGCAGAAGGGGGACGCTGAGGCCACATTCAGAATGAAAAGTCAGGAAAGTAAGTCTAAGAAACTTGTTCAATCACAAAAGCCATTTATAGTGAGATCATGTCCTAACTCTAGTGACAATGGGTTGTTGGATAACAATGTGTATAATTTACCACAGAGAAATTTAAAAAGGCACATGGACATGGCTAAGTTACCAGGGGTGCAACTAAAAAACATTTCTTGACAGACATCAGTTTCTTTGA